GAGTCAAAAAAAAATTTTCATATATTTCAATTACATTTCATATTATTAATAGATTCTCAAAAAAAATTATTCCTATAACTCGAAAAAAGCTATTGTAACGCAATCTTTTTAGAAAAAATTTTTAAAATTTTCAAAATCCAAGAAGTATTTTTCTAAGGCAAACTTCTTTTATGCAATGATTTAAAAAAAAATTTTAATCTTCTTTAATCTAAAAAATATAGAAAAATAGAAGTTTTAAAATATTGTATAATCCATTGTTGTCAGCAACAAAAAGCAGAAATTTTTTTTTTTTCCAATTGATCGATACCAATTCAGCTGATATCACGTCAGCAACAGCAATTTTTTTCTCAATGAATTCAAAACAATTAATACCTGACAAAAATTTTAAATAAGTATTTATAACAATAAACGTTTTTATACAACTTCACCAAGGTGAATCAAAATTTATTGATCACAATAAAAACAAGGTTTGAAATTATAATTAATACATTTTTCTGTTCCATTGAAATGGTCTAAATTTGGTCTGAAATTGGTCAAAATTGACTCGAATTTTTTTAAACTAATTTGTTTCTCTAAATAGGTACTTGTGTATGCGTATATAATTTTATCAAACATTTTGACACAAAACTACAATTCATAGTACAGATACCTAAATAGTTATTTTACCGTTATACTAGCATATTATACACTGCATTTGTATTATTTTATAGAATCTTACTTGTCACGATGAATTTAAGTTGGAGCAAAGAGATTACAAACGTCAAAACAAGGAAATTTTGACAAATGAAAAAAATTTTAATGAACTGTACGAAAATTGTAAATTGAATATATTAGTATTCCAATTGCATACAAAAAGTGCAAAACTTTGTGAATTCCATGCGTAACAAAGATTAAACGATGTATCCCCTTTAATTAAATTTTTCGCAAAAATTTACCGATTGACATGGATGGGTAATAGGCATTTTCATACAAGTACAACCATGCAATAATCGATGCACGAAACAAACGCTCAGCGGTACGATAAATCAGTCTCTCGATACAGATAAAGCAAACATTTATTTTTTTTTTTTTTAAACTCCAGTAATGAAATTCTAGGCCAAAGAGGAGTCGGAGAAAGAGTTTATGGGGCTAATCGTACCCTCGTTATTTTTCCGTTTTCCCAACTGACCGCCGGAGAGGTGGTCCAAATGTGTCGGCGTCCATAGGTATACGCGCAAGCACACGCATTCGTTTGTCCGAGTTATCGGAAAACAATCAGAAAATTGAACGGTCAAGCTGACTCTATACCATTCCCAAGAGCGGAGGCCTCTGTCGCCGTATTCCCCTGGCGTGCACTTTTCTTCCACACCCCCCCTTTTTTTTTCTCTCCCCAACATACTGACATGTACTGCGGCCGAATAAGGGTCACATTATGTACCGTATAGTGTACACGGCTACAGCTGGGCTAATCTGATCACTTTTTGCGCTTTTCTCGCTCTTCTGTATCGCTCTCGTATGAACCTTTTCTTCTTCGTAAAGCTTACGGTGATGATTTACTAACAAGTCAATCTTATCTTGTTCACGTAATTCCCTGTTACCGCAAGCTTCTGACCATCTCAATCGCAATTTAATTTTTTATATGTATACTTATTTTTTTCTAATGAATTTTGATAAGCTCGTCGCTCGATACAAATTTTTCTAAAAAAACTTTCTTTTAATTTGTTACGGTTTTTTTTTTCTTTTATTTAGTGTCTATATTTATTTCTACAACAGCCCGTGTCTTGAACCCAACTGAACTTGAACTAGAGGCTGGTAATCGTGGAAAAGATTCTATGAAGAATAACGATAAAGACCTTTCTTCAACAACATTGGTTTGAAAAATTTCAAAAAAAGCAAAAAATTGATTGTTATTCGTCCAAGACAACAAATTATTATTTCAGCCACTTGATCAGTAGAAAAATCACGATACTTTTGGTGATTAAATCGTAACCTAGAATTTAAATTATTTCAAGCTCACGAGCAATAATTAGTATCGAGTTAAACAGTCATCGTGCTCATGTAAGCCAAAATGACGCATATAAATTATGACCTTGAGTCACTTTTATCTATCACGCTTCGTTGGATATTAAAAAATATATTATTTTCAAGTAGCGCGTGTTGGCTGTCCTGGAAAGCTGCTTTATGGTTTTTGTTATTTTTTTTTTTTTTTTTATTTGTAATGGATGTTTTCAGAATTTCAAAGAAAAAATGAGCATGTAAGTTTATTAAAATTTATTTTTTAATTACGATATTACAGGTTAACATATTGAGAGGAGAATGTGTTCACATCAAAAAAATCAAAAGTATATAATTTCACACGATATTTTCAGTAAGCACAAATCTCCATGTACAAATTGAGTGTTAATTAAAATGTAAATCAAAGAATCCAATAAATACAATAAATGTAACATAAGCTCAAAAGTCAGGTTGATCAAACCACTGAACTGTCTGTGGTTCATTCTTAGAATAGTTGTATTCTAAACATTTGTCTTGCAGAATGAGGAAGCTGAAATAGAAACACGTATAGTTATTTGGGCTGAAACTATTCATAAAACATAGTATAATAACGGTTTTCTATTGTACTGTCAAAAAAACTTTTTTACCAATAAAAGTAAAACCAAATAATAATTATTTCTTAGATTGAATTTGACTTACTATTTATGACGAGTACAAACAGCAGGATAATCTTTTTTAAAACATTGTAGTCTCAATGCGTTAAAGTAAGTTATGCCAATTAGATTTGCCATCGGTGAAGAAGAATTTTTTAAACATTTATACAATTGTTTATCACAATCACAATGAGATCTATAATTGTTAAATAAATATAAATACAAGTTAGTTTAAAAATAAATTAGGATCTTATTAAATTGTATTGTTTAGTATTTAATATACGTTTATCATAAGTAATATCTGCCTGGCATGAATTAGGGAAATATGCATAAGCTCCAGAAAATTAATTTCGATAAAACTATGTAGCTATAAGCATAAGTACGACTTTAATAAATTCTATTGATACTTTCTACATTTTTTAATATAAGAATTTGTCTTTCAAGACTTTTGTAAAATCTGTCTTCTGAAACCCTATTACTTCCTTTCCCAATTTTATAAATAAAAATTCCTTAAAAAACTGTAATATTGAATAAGTTACTAAATTTTTGCAAAAAGTTTAACGAAAACTTAGACAAAACTGCTATATAAGTTTTATTAGATCATAGGTACTTATAACATGAAGGTGTTAATTTTTTACAAATTTATTTTGTCCCTCTCAAATTAATTGCTTACACACATTTTATTACTTTTAGATATTGTTCATTATTTATTTACTTATTTGCTTCTAAAGCATTTACATAATTAGTCCTTTAACTTAAAACCATACAGAAATTATTTTTTCAAATATCGTCGACTTTTTTCAACTGTAAACGGATCTTGTATAAATTAAATTTTAATACCGCTGGAAACAATTTGTTTCATTACCAATTACCCACTTTATTATTTAATGGAAAACGTCATTTTTACAAATTTTCGATCTTTTACCATGAATATATAAAATTATTATTTTGTCTGTCAAANAAATACCGATCTTCTATACCGCTTAGTCGTTGTTAAGATTAAAAAGTACTTAATGGTGCTCGTATGGCTGTGACATATATTTGCAATCTGTTCGTTTTTGATGATAATAATAATACACGATCGGTCAGTTAAATCGGTTGCCATTGGCTCAGTAGGTTGTAAGTTTTCTTGTGTTCCAAAGTAAGCAGTATTTCGTTTGTTCGGACAAAGGATGGCTGTGGAGAGAAACGAAGACAGGGTCGAGGGAGGAAGTAACGGCGAGAGGATACACAGTGACCAGGAGTGCAGGTTACCGGTCAGCGCGGATCCCGAAAACGAGCAAGTGGACAAGCTCGAGAGGGTCAGGAGTTACTTGACAGATTGCCAGACCTGCCGGAGAAGGTCCGTTTTATTTTTCCGCGGTAAATCAATCGACTACACTTTATTTTTTTTTTTTTTATTTTTTTCACTGGATGATAAAAACTTTTTGGTCATTTCGAGCGTACAGAGCACACGTTTTTACGAAGGGAGCCGGCTACGATGACGTGCCCGAACTGCCTCTGCGGCATCGAAACCGCGGTCGAGAGGCGCGCCACGATGAAAACCCACTTGTCCGCCCTACTGTTACTGCCAGTTTGGTGAGTTTACATCAGCTTTTGGAACTTTTTTTTTTTTCTTTTGAAATCCATGTTGGCGCATAACGTGAATTGTGTTATTGAAAAAAAAAAAAAAAATGAAATCGTAAATGTATACCTGGTAAAAAAACATCATCTTTGGAATTTTTTTTTATTACTTCATTCAGTGTACCTGTTATTGGCTCAACGCTATTTACTGTTAGGTCTTTCAAATTTTTGAAGATAAAAGCAACCATGTCTTTAATCATAACGCCGCCAGGCAAAAAATTTCCAACGTTTTCTGTTGTTTTTCCAATTGTTTCTATAGCGAGGCCAACAGTATCTTTAATCCATTGATTGCATGTAAACTCATTTGGATGATACATTCTTTTTTCCTGTATTATCAAACGAATTGTTGATTATGATTGAAATTACAGTTATTGTACAGTTGTGTATTTTAAAATATATGTATTATAATACCATGTAACCATTTTTGGTCTTCTCAAAAATCTCTTGAAAAATATTTTTGATCAAAACTTCCCAGTTTGAAATAAAAGTTGGTTTAATTTTATTTCTGGTATCATGTTTGGTAAAACCGACATTTTTTGGATTTGTATCAGAAAAAGTAGGTTCATGAGGTCTAAGCTGATTTTGAGGTAATTGTTTGTTCCAATCTGAGTCAAGGTTTGGAAATGGACTGTTAGCTTGATTTTTATGCGATGCCTCACCACTTTGCATTGGACCGTAATTATTCAACTTGTCAGCAAATCTCTCGTTATATATTGGCTGATATTCATGTATAGGCAGACCATTTTGTCCTCCTTGATTATAATTTATTTGTAAATCTATAGGCTTACCAATGATTAAAGGCTTATTGTACCTTTCGTCATTAAAATTATATTGACAATTTGCGAATACGACGAGGTATAATAATGGAAATGCGTGTATTACAATAAATGCCATGGTTTTTAATAAATTCTTCAAATCCACTGTTATGTCTTCAAATAATAAATTTAAAAAAAAAAATTTTTTTAACTTAACATATGTGTCTTAATTTATTCGTACTTATTTTGTGATATACTCAAAATTATAAATTACTTGTTTATTACTTAACAATGCTAATACTTCTTGTACAAGAACAAAATTTCTATTTGCAAAAATATACTCTACATTAAATCGTAACAGTTGTGCGTAAACTTTTGACTCGTCAAAATATTTAAAGCCCTAAACGCATCGTAACTTTGATAACGTAAGTTTTATTTTCAAAGCGTGCCAAACGTGCATCACGAAAAAAGCCATTATAGTGTTTCAAACTTAAAAACGTTGACAATTTTAAAATTCTAATGTTTTTTGTAACCTATCTATACGTAAGTTTTTTTTTGTAATATATGTGCATCATATATTAAAAAAAAAATTAGCTATATCTTGAAAGAGATACACTTAATTTAATTATTTATACTCCAAGTATTAATCAAACTAATGTGTAGTATTATATCTATACTACGCGCAACTTGTAGGTTGCACAGATAATAAACACGTCTTACCTGAAAAATTTAATTTTTGTTATATTCTCATTGATTTTTTCAAAATACTGTACTATGTTTCATTCATAGTCTAAATTAGTTTGAAATGTTTTTTTTAAAGAATTAAAAAAAAATAATAATTTTTTAAATCTCTTATA